TTCCTCATCCGGAACCGACGTCGAAACTTTACAGCGTAGATGGCGTCATCTGCAAAATAATCTTCTATAAGGCGATCGTGTCCGGCTTCATGATTTCTACGCAACGACGGCTTTCTTAGCTTAGGTCGTGCACGTGATGTTTCGCCTAGTCGGTTTTGATAGTATGCAACCGTTTTCGCCATGACAGAACCGATAAATTTAGCCTCGTCTACAACCGTCGAATCGGATGATGAAGATGATGACATTTTGAATAATATTTTTTGGAGAGAAATATAGGTTATGGGTTAAAAAAAGTGGTAGAATGTTGTAGTATTTATAGGTTAAGAAAAGGGAAAGAAAAAGAATATATATATATATATATATATATATATATATATAATATATATATATATCGACTATATAGCTGTTTGGAATAAAAAAAGAAAAAAAAAGCCAGCCAATCGTTTCAAGAGAGAGAGAGCGGGACTCTCTCCCCCCACCCTCTTACCGCGTTCCCTTTCCCGCACCCACGGTGCAGTGTTTCTTCGCGCGGGAAACGATCCCGCGGTTTCCCCGCTCTCCACTCCGTCCGGCCTTACTAATTTCTATTTGGTTGTATGATGTTATGAACTTATTTCGTGTTGTGACTTGTGACCCTTTGAAAGTTGCTATTGGGTTTTGGGAAAAATTTTAACCCCAATAAGATACTCATTGGATATTGGGGTGAGGATGAGAAAAATTTATGACATCGGGTTCGGGGTACTCCGCCAAAAACCCACCCTATGGTCTTTCCTACTATGGATGTAAATTTACATCTTATAACAGTTAAATTTAAATTTACAATAAATATTATTATCTAACCATAGTTTTATGTCTTATAACAACATATTCACATCGGACATTTGAGTGATAAACTTTATATGTATAACTTGCGATTTACATTTGATAACATTTAACATTTAGTTATCTGATGTGAATCTAATGGTATACAATGTAATTTTGAAGTTATTTACCGTGAATTACATGCTATAAGATGCATATTTCGAAATAAGTACACAAAGTTGTGTTATATATGTATAATAATGAAGTTATAATAGTAACTTTATTTTATTTTATTTTATATAATATATAATTTTGCATTAATAGGATTTAATCAACAAAATGAAAAGAAATTATTATGTTAAATAAATTAATAAAATCATATTGCGATTTATTATAGTAACTTAAAACAAAAAATATCATAGTGTGAATAATTTTTAAATGTGATACTCGGATATACCTCTGAGGCTGGACGGAGTGGGAGCGGGAAAGGGGGTGAGGGAAGCTTCTCTCACTCTTGAACACCACTCATTGGGTGAGGGAAACATCCCGCGGGAAAGAGGTGGGGGAGGGAGTGCCGCACTCTCTCTCTTCATGCTATTGGATAATTTTTTTTTCTTTTTATTCTTTTTAATATTTATAAAATTGTATACCTATCAAAAAAAATATAAAATATATATTAAAATTCATGGTTTTTAATTCCCTACAAAATGAGTATAATATATGTATGAAATATATTTTTAAAAAAATATAAAAAAATAGTGAGGGAAGCTTCCCACCAATTCTTTGGGTTTTAGGTGAAGGAAAAAAAAGTGAGGGAAAGATTGGACCCATTCCTTGGGTTTTAGGTCCGGGTTTTTGGGTTTTAGGTGAGGGAAGAAAAAGTGAAGGAAAAATTGGACCCATTCCTTGGGTTTTAGGTCCGGGTTTTAGACTAGGGAAAGAAAAGCGAGGGAAAGAGTGGTGAGGCACTTTCCACACCCTCCTGAGAAAAGGAATTGTTGGTTATCTTTGTCACGCTCAAACTCGAGCAATTCCTGCCTATATTTGGTACGAAACTGAAGGCCTGGTTCGCACAGCACAATTTTGGCTATGGCGCTGCAAATGAAAGCAAACGGTTGCGCTGCCGCAGCACCACCTCCATTCCGGCGGTGTCTAAGTCCATTCAGCAGCCGCGTGTCCTTCCAACCATCACAAAAAGTTTCTCGGTTCACCGTGTCGTGTGTTGTTAAGAAAAGCCCTAAACGCCTCAAGTACGCTACACCTCGTTTTCCCAAGGTAATCATCCTCTCCATCCCTTCCTTCCTTCATTCAAGGTATTATTCAACTCGAGAACCGTCTCGTACTGTCGTATTATAATCAACGCTACGAAGTTGTAAACGACGTCGGTTAATCTGTACGTTTTCAACTTAGGCCAATATGTTAGACTTGAAACCCGTTTGATAGTAGTTGTAACCCCGGAGTGACTCTCTTTCGGGAGAGTTGTGCAGCCATTGCAGTAATTGTTGCTTCAGGAGAAGATGGTTACCTTTGACTAACTTGTTCCTTATTCTCAGCTCATTATTACTCCAACTGTATATTGGATGAGACCTGGACCCGATTAACTATTTAACTCCACCAAATCAGATGAGATAGTAGATAAAACTGTCTGTAACAGTACTCTATTTGTAGCTAAGATGAAGAATTAGCTATTGACGATCAGGTTAAAGGAAACACTGTAAGAGAAATTCGAGAATAGAAAAAGTAAATCACTCCATTCATAATCACAAGCAATTCATAGAGAACATATATTACATTTCCCTAATATAGACCTCCATGCATTGTAAAATTATTTGTAAGGGCCTCCTGTGTTTGTTACATGAGACTAACTGTATCACATCGTGTTCATTGAATCCCTAAATTTTATGTTTTTCTGTGTTCATCATTGCTTCACCATGAACAACTGAATCAAATGATCACTGGTTATTAGCATGATGAGGTTTCTCCATCAGTAGTATAATCTCGACATGACAAGCATTTATCTTATGCAGTATATTCCATTTTTATTAAATCATCACTTGTCATTAACATGATGAGGTTTGTGGAATCCACATTTTAAGAAATCTTAGATGTAAACATGTGATAAATGAAACTGAAACTCTCTTCATGATTGCAGAAGGAAATTGTAGGAAGTTAACTCACCTTAATTATAATATTGTTGAAAATATCAGGAGGATGGATTGGTCTACATTGAAGTTGATCCTAATGGAACAGACACATGGAAACTGGATTCAGCTGTGGAACTTCTTAAAAAGGGAGCTGTTGGTGTGATTCCCACAGATACTGTGTAAGTCCAACACCAATAATAACTTATTTCTTTAATTTATGACAGCATTGATCAGTAACAGCAATTTCTTAATATATGTAGCACTTATTATATTATATGTTTGTGTTGTTAATAGGTATGCTATGGTTTGTGATATGACTAATCATGATGCCATTGAACGTCTTCGAAGGTAGATATTTTTACATATTAAAAGAAGTTGAAGCTTAATATAAAGTCAAAATCTCAAGTGTAGTTTCTCTTTTTTTTTTTTTTTATATTTATGGTGTAGGTTGAAAGAGGTTGAAGCTTCAAAGGCAAGCATTTATTCATTGATTCTGCTTCAGTACTCTAATAAAATAATGTCCTGTCTTGTGAAAAGAAGTAAAGTTGTTATTAACATTGTTTTTAATGCGAAAATGACGACTGTTGCAGCCATTTAGTATTTTGTGTCGTTCCCTCCATGACATAGATACATATACGACTGGGTTTCCTCGTGGGAACAGTGATGGTATTTCAGACATTTTCAGAGCTGTGAAACATTGCTTACCTGGACCTGTAAGTATGCTTTTTTACTTATTGTTAAAAATTGCACATAACTTTACTTGATCTAGATAAAGTGTACACTTGTATGGATTAATAATGTAGTATTTGAAATGGAAATTTCCCTATTTTGGCTGATGGTTTCCTGTTTCTGTTAATGTTGTTATAGTACACGTTCATCTTAACTGCAAGCAAAGCATTACCAAAACAGTGTATAAAATACGGAACCACAACTTCTAAATACGCAACTAGGAAAAATTTGGGTGTCCGCATACCTAATGATGCTGTATGTCAAGCTGTATTGGAGAAGATGGGTGCACCTCTTATTTCCACAAGGTCTTTCTTCATCATTCCTTAGTTATTATATTATAACCGGAAATTTAGCATCATCTATTTCTATTCTATGGTCATTTTAAATCATCTAAAAAGTAGTTTATAGTTTATAGTGATGTTAGTGGTTAAATGCTTCAGTGTGAGGTCACCAGAGGAAAACCGATGGATAATTGACCCGGTGTTAATAGCTGATGCATATGGACCGGAGGTACCCATTTGGTCCAAAACTCATAAGTCAATGTTTGCTTCAATATTATTAATTTAATTATAAGATTATGATTATTCCAGGGTCTTAATTTTGTAATTGATGCTGGGGTTAGAGTGGCTAATCCATCAACTGTTGTGGATATGATTAAGATTCCCCCGACAATTATTCGTCAAGGGAAGGTAACATTTTCAATGCTAAGTTTGACATGTGAGGATCAAAAAGAAACTATTTTCCCACTGATTAAAAAAAAAAAAAAAATAATTTATAGTTCAGTAATTAAATCGAAAAAATTAGTTTAGTAGCTAAAAGCCTAAAACACTCAATATGTTGTTATTTTTTTGTATTTCCCGTCATGTCAAAAGTAGATAACCTACAGAAAATTAGAAACATTTTTTTACAGTAAAATATAAAACGATAATGGTTTTTACACTAAAAAAGTTAACTAACTAATTGAATTGATAAAATGGTGCCTTTTCTGCTCAATCTGATATTTTGTATGTTATTGGTTTTAGGGTCCTAAACAACCGTGGATGGTAGAAGAAGAAGGAGAAGATGGTGATGAAGAAAGAGATTCGATTTCATCTACTGCATAGTTAACACTCCTTGTACACCTGTAAATTGTGAAGCTTAGAATCTGCTAATTCAATCCACAATAGCCAATAGGAGTTTTGGGTGGAAAAATCTTTTGAAAAATATCTCCTATTGTGATAACTTTTTATTCTACTTGTAAATTTACAAGATCAAATCAAGAGCTTTTTCAATTATTTTTTTAATTATTATTTTAATTAATCTTTATTATTATATAAAGCATATCGGATGTTTCTTGAAAATTACGGATGTTTCTTGAAAATTAAGAGGTACAACTATTATAATTATAATTCCATGTACAATCTTATTAAGCTTGTATAATAATTATACACTACGCATCTCATTTGTAACTTATTACGGTCTTAGATTTCGGAGAACCCTAAAATCCTCTAAAGCTCTTCAGCCTCCGTTTCTCCCAAATCTCCTACGTCTCCCTCCTTACTCTCTTCGATCTCTGGCAGACCTCCGTAACCACCAGCCTCCTGACGCCGTCGCTACGTCCACCCTCCTGATGTCGTCGTTACCTCCTAGACCTTCTATCGGTAAGTTGATGTCCCTCCCCGCCTATTTTCTTGTATCTGCGTGAGTTTCCTTTGCTCGGTTTGAGTTTTGGGAACCTCTATTTCCTATTTGTGAGGTTGTATGTGTTGCGGGTTTCCATTCACTTTTTGACGGAAGAGCTGACTGGTGGTGCAGAAACACCATACCGCTGGTAAGTTCATGAAACGTCAACCCTTTATTTCTGCTTCTTCATTGGATTTTATTCAGATGCATCGAATCTGTAACTTAAGTGATGTAAATTGGTGTAGGCCATGTTTTGTTGGTTCTATTTTATCTACTTTATTTGGGAGCTGGTCGTTTTTTCCTCTCTGGTTTGTAAATATTGGGGCTTCTTCTAGGTGATTCGTACACAACCACTGAGATAGATGTGCTCAATTCTTCATTTATGTTATAGATTCATGAGTTTTCGGGAAGTGACTCTAATATTCATTTTGTTTCTTCCTGAGAATATTGCACTCCACCTGTTTGTTGTTATGCCTATGAGATCATTCAACTTTTTCGTATAGTAGTTTCATGTGGCAAACTTATTTCCTGTTAATGATTCTGTATATGAGCTCCGTAGCTATATGTATGCAACTATAGGTCTATCTCTGATAGAACTCAAGAACGATCCATGATAATATGATTACTATATATGGTAGCTGCTAAATTTTAATTTAAGTATCTAATTCCTATCAGAGTCTAAGGCAAACAACATTGCTAATCTCCTCATCGTAGCTGATATCTCTATTATATTGCTTTATAAGTGAAACTTCTTACAGCTATATGTGTTCCGTATGTGTTATTTGTATTTTTAAAGAATGAATATATTTACAGGAAATGCTCAAATATGGTTTAGGGGAATATTGTTGGTTTGGAAATTAATTATTGTGTAGAGTAATGGGAAGTGGGTGATATCTTCAACGTTATGTGTGTGTCTACGTAAGGTTGTAACCCAAGGGAAGGCAAAGGAAGGGATCTGCCACTCAGGTGGTAGAAGGAACGAAGTGGAAAAGAGGAAGAGAGGGGTGGGTGGTGTTGTTTTGTACTGGTCTTCAAGTTCTAATAGGTTTGAATTTCCTTTTTTTGGCTTTTATGATCAACATGTTCACGTATATATATATTTTTGTATTTGAGTTCTCACAGGTTTGGGTTTTATTTATGCTTGTATTTTATGGGGTGGAATACATGGCCTTGATTGGGCGTACCCTATTTTGGGTGTGAGATTACACTTTTGAGCGAATCATAGAGAAGAGGCATAAATCGTGAGCTAGGGCGTTGCTTCCCATCTCCGGCTTTTTTGGTCGTCGTTACCTCTCTGCCCACCGCCTCTTTCATTGTTTCCATTCCTGAAATATGAATCAAGGTGTTTGTGCAATTTCTCCAGAATTGATGATGTTTTGATTCAGGTAAGTTTCATTAGTGTGTTTTATTAGCTTTTACACCATTTACTTTTACAAACTTTTACTAAGGCTCTGTACTTTGTAAGATTTACCTATTAATAATATCGTGTTTTCAAAGTTTTTTTTTCATGTAAGAGTGAAAATTGCTATGTATTTTTATGGCATTTTTATAATTGGATAGTTTTTTTACAGTAGCATGTGGTATTAAGAATAATTCAAAGTAGAATGTTAATGATAAAAAAATCCATGAAAGTATGTTACTATTAGTTGCAGTTAACATTGATCTTTTTTTTGTGATGTTGAATAATCGTTATTTCTTTTGTTAGGTGTGCTGGTACAGAAAAAGATTACACAGAAAAAGGGTATTTTGTTTTGAGTCTGACTTGGTACTACTACTCCAAGACAAACTAGGAGGGTTCATAATTTACATGTGTATTGTTTGTAAACGTTTCAATTGTTTCCTGCTTTTACCTTTTTAATGCCCACTATTTTTTAAAATGTTCTACCGTTTAAATTATAAATATTTTAAATTAATATTTACCTTTAATTCGTAAAGTAGGTAAATTTCGTAAATTTATTATTTTTGTTTGGTATGCATTTCGATTGCCCCTATTTTTGACATTAGGAATTTGTGAATTTTCATATTTAGCAATATTAAAACATATTTGACACTTTTAAATAAATGTTTTGCATAACTCTGAATGTTTATTTAAACCCGACAACATATTAACATTTATGGAGGCTACTTTTAACAATTTAAATTAACTAGATGTCTAAAATGTAAACTGATTTTTTCATTTGAATTAAACTTTGTTTTCGAAAAGAACAACTTTATTAACGTTTATGGAGGCTACTTTTAACAATTTATTGCAATATGTCCGAAAATGTTCAAGATTTTTATTTATTAATTTTATCTAAAATTGCTGATAATACTAAGACGTCAAGAAGTATGATGTTTTCACTTTAATATATTGATTAGTAAACGTTAGAAATGTAAGAATAACTAAGTCTTACAGAACAACAAAATACAATTTTATTTTCATAGATTTCTTAATAATTCACATTCAAATGTAAACGTATATTTATTAAACAAACAATATGTATGTTTATTTTTAATTCAAAACAACAATGTTGGATATAAATATACTTTCATACTAATTAATATTTATCAATACATTACATATTTTCATACTAATTAATATTTACTAATACATTACATGTTCTTTGTAATACGGATGTAACCGGTTCAAAAAACGGATTGAAATTGATATAACCGAAAACTGATAAAAGAATGAACGAGAAACCGAGAACCAGACCGAATACAACTAACCGGTTTCGGTTCGATTCAACTATAACATATGCAATCTATTAAATGTGTTTGGTATTGAAAGAAGAACCGACCCGAACTTGACAAAAACCAAAAGAATTGATAAACCAAAAACCTACAGCCAACTAGAAACTATTTGCCGAAAAAAACTATTCGCCGCCGCCCCATCGCGCGGGTCCACGACTAGTTAGTTACTAATATAAATCGTAATAACATGTTAAATTATATATTACAAACCTAAACAATACCAAATAAAGATGTCTACAAACATAAACATAAAAAATATGTAAATTTAAGTTTTACTTTTATTGATTCTCTTGTGTTAATCTATAAAATAAAGTGAAAGTTAGTATGTAATATTTTCTCTCGTTTATTTTATACAACAAAATATATATAAAAAACGTACCCAGCTTTGTAAAAATGTAAATATAAAAAGTCAAAAGTTATATATTCTATTTAGTTATATAAATTTAATTTCAAACATATTGATATGATATAAAAAATAAAAATGATATAAACTACATTTAGGGGGCCATTATTTTGGCAGTTTTTTCTTTAACCTATCTTGTATCCAAATAAGAAAGGATGAATTTATTTTAGATTTGACCACAAAAAAGTTTTACTAATAGAACTAATGTCATATAATTATAAGTCTTTAAGGGTTTTTTTTTTTTTTTTTTTTTTTACAGTTTATAAACTGGTCACCTACACCTAAAAAATGGGTGTCATCTGTGCTGAGATGGTTAACCATTCAATGTATGGACACATTTCTTTTCATAGTCAGAAATCATATATATGGTTAAAGTTAGACATACGCCTATATTTACCCTTTTCAGTTTTCACCATCACCGTAAATAAATGTAATTTCTGTTCAATTATGACAATTTAAACTATTTCAATCTGAAGTAGTCGACATCTCATGAAAACGAGCTAAAATTTGGAACTCCCGCTTAAATTTCAAGAGTTTTAAAATTGAAACTTTGATATCCGTTTTTCGTTTTTTAAGTACTTTCTATCTCCCGCAAGATTCTCCACCAAATTTCAAAATCACCCGCTTTCCATTCAAACATCCCCCCCAAAACTTCCATTATAAGCACCTTTGTACCCTTCCCTCATTCTCATCAACTCATAATCTTCTTCTTACAGTTTCCATCAAAGACGAAAAGATGCCTTCCATCCCTGAAGAGCCTCTTCTTGCTCCAAACCCAGATAGATTCTGTATGTTCCCAATCCAATACCCTCAGATCTGGGAAATGTACAAAAAAGCAGAAGCTTCGTTTTGGACGGCGGAGGAGGTTGATTTGTCACAGGACCAGCGTCAGTGGGACAACCTAAGCGACGGCGAGAGGTACTTCATCACTCACGTCCTCGCATTCTTCGCCGCCTCCGACGGAATCGTATTGGAAAACCTCGCCGGACGGTTCATGAAAGAGGTCCAAGTTGCGGAGGCGCGTGCCTTCTACGGATTCCAGATCGCAATCGAGAACATTCACTCCGAGATGTACAGTCTCCTTCTCGAATCATACATCAAAGACTCCAACGAGAAGAGTAGGCTGTTTCGCGCAATCGACACCATCCCTTGCATCCAGAAGAAAGCGAAATGGGCACTAAGATGGATCGATGGATCTGAAACTTTCGCAGAACGGATCATCGCTTTCGCCTGCGTCGAAGGTATCTTCTTCTCCGGCAGCTTCTGCGCCATATTCTGGCTCAAAAAACGAGGGCTCATGCCAGGTCTAACATTCTCGAACGAATTGATCTCACGAGACGAGGGTCTACACTGTGACTTCGCGTGCTTGCTTTACAGCCTGTTGAAGATGAAGTTGAGTGAAGAGCGAGTGAAGGCAATCGTGGCTGATGCTGTGGAGATCGAGAGAGAATTCGTTTGTGAAGCTTTGCCGTGTGGTTTGGTGGGGATGAACGCCGATCTTATGAGCACATACATCGAGTTTGTAGCAGATCGATTGATTGGTGCTTTGGGATACGGGAAGATGTACAATGTTCAGAACCCATTTGATTGGATGGAACTGATTTCATTGCAGGGTAAGACCAATTTCTTCGAGAAGAGGGTCGGCGAATATCAGAAGGCATCTGTCATGTCTAATCTCAATGGCAATGGGGATTCCCATGTTTTCAAGATGGATGATGATTTCTAAATTAGGGTTTCTACTAATGTCATAAAACCTTTACAAAAAATTGTTGTTTTCTCTTTGTATTATCAATTTAGGTGTAACAAGTTATATAATTAGTGTGTTTAATCAATTTACGTTAATGAATGGTGTGTTTTACAAAAAAAAATTATATAGGTATTTTGTTCATATATATCTCTTACTTTATATATGAACTAGTTACTAGTTAGTATCTCTTCTTCAACTTGGTGCGACTAATATATCTAGTTCTTGCCACTAACTTTTGATCTAGGGACAAGATTATAAACACTTGCATGACAAGTGGCAAAGTGCTTAGTAAAATCCTTCGTTTTTCATTCATGAAATCCCAGGCAAAATCGATTTGTATTTTGTACAATGTATATTTGAAGGCTGACAAAGTGGCAAGATACGAAAAAATAATAAACAATTTAAATGTTTTTGTAAATCGTTTTAGCTATCGTTGGTGTAAATTTCAACATCAAGTCGAGATGGCCGAGTTGGTCTAAGGCGCCAGATTAAGGTTCTGGTCCGAAAGGGCGTGGGTTCAAATCCCACTCTCGACATACATTTTTATTTTTCACATCTCCCACTCAATATTCCTAGATTCTAGTAATTCAAGTAACTTTACTTTACGATTATGGCCTTATCATAAGGCCGTAACTTTGACATCACAATATACGTTTTAGATAATCAACAAAAAGTAAAGCAAATTGTAACTTTACTTGACGATTATGACCTTATCATAAAGGTGTAACTTTGACATCACAATATACGTTTTAGATAATCAACAAAAAGTAGAGCAAATTGTAGGTATTTCGTTTAAGGGGATCTCTCTTCTACAAATATTATTGCGGCAATAAACCTATTTGATGTATAAAATATAGACAAAGTCATTGATGTATTACAATCATTTTTATATAATTCTAAGAAAACATAACCTTAGAATAATTTTATATATGTCCTAAAAAAACAAAATATTATATGTCCTATCTATCTCTATCTATCTATCTATCTGTCTATTGATCTATCTATCATGTATACACTAAATAAATAATCAAAATATTATATTTGTCCAAATATTAAGAGAGAAGTTCATATATGCCTTAAACAAACATTCAAAATATCATATTTGTACAAATATATTTTTTAAAATATTTTTTAATCATGTTTTTGTTATTAATTTAAAAATGTTTAGATTGAGCATAACACATTTTATTCAAAATTGCAAGAATATATTGTATCCTATGGAAGTAACTCTGTCACTTTCTTCTTCTTCTTTCGTTTTGCAGCAATCGGCACCACCACAAAGCACGAAGCCACAAACTCGATCATGAAATTTTTCAAGGTAAGTAGTTTTTAATGCTCGACAATTTTTGGTAGAGTTTCTCTCATTGCTGATAGGTTTTTTTTACTGCTTATAAGGATTTATGTTCTTCGATTTTACAAGTCAGATTCAACGATGGAGGATTGTTATAGCCCTAATTCTCTTTACTGGCTTTATGATTTTTTTGTTGCATCAGTCTTCACGACCTCATTGGTTTCTTATCTTATGATTTTCTGATGCATCAGTCCTCATGGAATCCATTACCAATTTTCAGTTTTCCTTCCAAAGATACTAACCTTGAACAAAGTGCAATTAATATGAATACTTGTTCTTTTGTTAAGTGATAAAGTTTGTGATGTTTGTTTCTTTTCTGACAACTAATCATTAAGTTTGTGATCAGTTGTGTTTGTTTCTATTCTGACAACTAATTACTAAAGGAATCCATAAGGGTGGTGCTATTAAGACACCCCTTAAACACCCCATAGACATCTTTATCAAAAGTCAACCTATAGGTAACTATTTATAATCATCGTTTTTAGAAAACAATTTAATTTCAACCAATAAAAATACCTTAAAAACTATGTAGGGGTCTAAATGATAAAATGAGATGTCTTTTTAGCCAACCTCATCCATAATTCTATTCCATTTGTTAATTTAGAGTAATTTGTGTGACTCCATTTTTTATATCAAGGAGATTTGGTCAAAACTGATTTGATTATGGTTGTTCTTGAAGGGAATGTCATTTACCATTTCCATGACTATCATTATCTCAATTGATTAAAACAAACGTTTAAAGGTTAATATTTAATAGAGTGAAAAAGATAATATTTAATGGTATTGAAAAAGATCATTCATCTCTTAAAAAAAGAAAAAAAGAAAATTTAGAATCATGTTTTGTTGACTAATAATTATCATATATTTTAAAAGTTTATACTAGATGGTATTTTAAACTTAGATGTATAATAAGGATATAATAGTCAATTGATAAAAAAGAAAATATCACTGTAGCACAATGACTATTGTTAGTTTTTAACTATTCATCTGTTAACTAGTTATTCTAAATTACACGAATGACCCTTATGGTTTAAATTTCTTTCGTAGTTGGTCCTTACCAACACTGTTCATCACCACTTTTAGATGAATGAAGCGTTCAATCGGTTTCATTGCTGATTTGGCATACAACATGTCATTTGCATCACCAAACATGCCTACATGGCAGTGACATGGATTCCATATGACTTTCTCACTTAATTATATTTCTTTGAGTAAATTACACGGATGGTCCTTTAGCTTTACAGTTTTTCTCTGATATGGTCCCTACGAAACTTTTTTCCCTGAGATTGTCCTTACAAAGCAAACTTTGCACACAAAAGGTCCTTATGACTAAATCTGTTAACAAATTCTGTTAAGTAATTGTAAATGACGAAAATACCCTTTATTTTTTGCATACAAATGGTCCTTATGACACACACACATACACACACATTCTCTCTCTCCTAATTTTACGACCACCACCACACTCCGATCATAGCAACTGTGATTGAATCTGGGTTGATTACGTAATTCTCCATTTGTTGATAAAGATTAATTGCATCTTAAGGCATCGAGTTATTGACATACACAACTATCATTACATTCTAAGAAATTAAACTCTCTCTAGCGTGATTCATGACCATTTCTTTCATAAACATCACGTTGGTAGACGAAGTAGAAGTTGTTACAACAGGGGAAAGGCTAGCCATGGTGCCTGCATTAGGTTTTAAGGTAGAACATTACATCATTGTCTTACAAATCTCCAACGCATAATCAAACATCCGGTTTTGGGCGTAGGAAGCAACCATAGCATTCCAGAAGACGGTATATCTACTAGACATTCCATCAAACACCTGGCGTCCTTCCAGTAACCGGTTACAATTTCCATACATTGTAATCAATCCATTTCCTATATAAAGATTTGAATGCAGGCCCTTTTGAGAACAAAAACATGGGTTTGTAATCAGACCCATAAATTCTCAGACAGGGAACATCCTCCATTTCGTAGAATATACCTCGATACTCCTCCTCGCCACTATTACCGTCGTCCAAACTCCAACTCCATCACCACTGGCACTTCCACCAGCGTTAATTCCTGCAACGAAATCTACATATCTTAAACTTACACCTCCGGATCGAAGTTTTCACCAAACCGAACATCAAATAAGATGGGCGGAAGAGATTTGATTACCTTTTTTCCGACGAGGGAAGAGAGATCGATCTTAGTTGGCAGTTGTGTGGTGCATCACAGCCCCCTCCTCTTTCATGTCATCGTGTTCAAATGATTGATTAGCACTGGACCGGTAGCCATATTAGTCTTCTGATTCCCAATCTTCCTTTGTTTGTTTGCTTATTGTGAACAAAAAAGATGAAGACGAACGGCAATTTGATGAATATCTTGGGTTCTGTGCAAACTAATGGTGAGGTTGTCCATTAACCTTCTTCGTCTTCTTCCTTTCTGTTGTCGATTCTGTGCATATTGATGTTTTTTTTCCTGTGTACATATAATGGTTTTTTCCTTGATTGGGTGGGAGCAACTAATTTATCTCAAATTGGGTTCGACTGTTAGTTTTCAAGTTAAGTATCGATGCTTTTGGAAGCTTTTTTTAGGCAAGTTGTTCTCTTGTAATTTTGTTATTGATATAAAATTTATGTACACATCTGAATGTTGGAAGAAAGTAGGAGGATACAGAGAACTTTACCAAACCTGACAATCAATTGAGAATGACATCAATAGGGGAGGGGAGCAACATGGGGTCGATTGAATGCTTTACCAATCGATTTATAAGTTTGTTTAAGAATTTATTAATTCCTTTGTTAAAGAACTTCAACAATCAATTTTTGGGTTTCATGATCACATTATGAAGGGGGGGGGGGAGAGAGAGAGAGAGAGAGAGAGAGAGAGAGAGAGAGAGAGAGAGAGAGAGAGAGCATTTGTGTGCAAAAAATAAAGGGTATTTTTTTCATTTATAATTACTTAACAAAATCTGTTAACAAAGTTAGTCATAGGGACCATTTGTGTGCAATGTTTGCTCCTTAGGGACCATCTCAGGAAAAAAAAAGTTTCGCAAGGACCATATCAGAGAAAAACTGTAAAGCGAAAGTCGTGTAATTTACTCTATTTCTTTATTAAAAGTTATTACTTCTATTTATTAACTGAAATCATTTCCCATGAACACATTATCACCATGTTTTATAGCCATCCCTTACTTGTCACCGTCGCCACCACCATTCATCTTCCTTTAACCCACCTCTCACCACCATTAACCACCACAATCCAACACCGCCACCAACAACATCAGGAGGCTCAATACATTTTCAACATCTATAAAGACACAATCAAACCTAGAAACAAGAACACAACTCCAATATATCATATGTTATTTTGTTTAGTTCTTGGTTTCCTAAATTGATCTATACAAAGAATCAAAAAATCATATTTTATACAAACCCTAAAAACCTAAAAAAATATTGATCATCATCTTCAAAGAACAAAATCAAGGAATCATGGATTATGTACCACCATTGTACACCACCAGAATTCTGAACAAGAAAAAAAGAACATGAATCGATGGTTTCCAACGAAAATCGAACATAAATTCAAAAAAGAAAATCGAACAAAAATCTAAGGATGTTGCTTCATTTTCCA